CGGCTACGCGTTTGTTTATATTCGTCTGTCAAATGAGAATCCATGGTCAATGCTCTTGTTTTTACTAATTTATGTTTATGTAAAACTGAATATGAATAATTATGAATAATTAAAAAGTATATAATAACGTTAATGCTTTGAAATGAGGATATATGCATACCATGCATACTATAGAGTCAACGAGTACAATTTTCCCATGAGTCCATCGATGGACGAGTGGGTATCCATCGCATCGAACGCGTGGGCGAAAAGTCCAGTGGATTGAGTCCATCGATGGGCAAATTCCATTTAAAAATCGCTGGATCTCACGAATCTATTGGTAGTCTGACGATACCTTTAGGAACTGGCGGAAAACAGGCAGGTAAAGAAAGATTAATACTAAGATGTATACATTTGGATATGTTGTATACACACTATGCATGGTCTTGTACTTATTCTAATTATATAAGATTAATTTGCGCTTATAACTAATAAAGAGAGAGAGGAGGGATAGAAAGGTAGAGAGTTTGAGTTAAAGAGAGAGAGAGAGAAAGTGAGTGTGAGAGAGAGAGGCAGAGAGAGACAAAGAGAAAGAAAGAACTGAGAAAGAGAAAGAAAAAAAAAATGAGACAGAAAGAACACATAAAGACCTTTCCAAGAACACCAAGAACAGGCGACGAAAGGCAGCCCAATCAGACAAGGAACACAGAACGCACACCTACCCCCGCCCCCCCCACCCCCCCCCTTCGAGCGTGTGTGACGAACCGCCCACACCTTCTGAGAGTCAGCAACCTTGCAGAGAATCCCCAGTAATAATAATTCACTCCCAGAAGGCCATTCATGCGCAAAATTTCAGCCGGAGCACAAGAGACTTCGAGGTCCCTCTCTGTTTCTCTCCGGCTGTGACAAATTCTTGGAGTACGATGAAAGTTATTGGGAGAATAATAACCTTTTATGTTTTTTCTTTCTTTTCTTTTTCTTTTTCTTTCTTCTCTTTCTTTCTTTTCCTTTTCTTTTTGTTTCTTTTTCTTTTCTTTTTTCTTTTTCTCTTCTTCTTCTGCGAATTATGAAATAAGTACAGCTTGTCGTCGTTATTTCGGGATGTCTGAATGCATGGAGGAGTGAGTATGTACCAGTTTGAAAGAGATTAAGGTTTTAAATATTTTTCATGTTAATGTTAATGCCTTGGTAAATGATTTTTTTTTTTTTTTTTTTTTTTTTTTACTTTCTTTTCCTCTCTCCTTCTCTCTCTCTCTCTATTTCTCTATCTACCTATCTATCTCCATTCACTCTCCCTCTCTCTCCTTATCCCCCACTTCTCTCTCTCTCCTTCTCTCCCTCCCTTCCCCCTCCCTCCCTCCCCCTCTCCCCCCCTCTTCTCCCCCCCTCTCCCCCCTCTTCTCCCTCCCCCCCTCTCCCCCCTCCTCTCTCTCTCTTATCTATCTTACCGACGTATTTTTTCGCCAGTCACCTTCAGGAAAAGAGGCTCATACCATCCGTGCAAATTCCCATGAAACTGGTCAAGTACGAATTCAAGGCAATATAATGATCTTGTGAGGAAGCTTATGTGTATGCAGTACACATGCAAATCGATGCACGTAATTCACAAGCACGCATAAGAGTTTTGTTTGATGTCTTCGTAGATGTTATTGTCGTTATTATCATCATTGTTATCATTATTGTTGTTGTTATCATTATTATTGTTATTATTATTATTATTATTATTATTATTATTATTATTGCTATCGTTATTATTAATATAATTATCATCGTTATCATTATTATTATCGTGATTTTCATTACTATCATTAGCATTTTCGTTATTTTAATTATCATTACTATTATTATCATTATCATCATCACCATTGTTATTATTGCTATTTACATTATTGTTATTACTATTAAATTCACAATCTTATGGTTAATTTGCCTTTTATGTTTGCATCACGTCTTTTAATTAATCTTTTATTAAGGTGAACCATGAAATATATATCTATGTTACTGAGGACTTTAGATAATGTTTCTATACATATTCAACATTCGGTAGATATATTGTTCTATATCATTTTCATTTATGTGGTATACATTTCATCGTTCAAATATATCGTATTCGCTAAACTAATATTCAAATAAAATAAGGGCCTATTAATCTTTAAATGAAAATAACAGATAAATAAATAAATAATAGTATGAAGTAAAAATGATAAAACATGATTTATCAAACACAGGCAGTTTTTTTCATGCACGATTAAAGGAGTTAATGAAGAAATGGATAAGAAAATGAAGGTAATAGATCAAATAATTGTCAACGAATATTTTGATGGATTTCGTCAAATATTCTTTCTTCTTGTGTGTGTGTGTGTGTGTGTGTGCGTGTGTGTGTGTGTGTGTGTGTGTGTGTGTGTCTTTATATCTCTGCGTCTCAGTATATATTACCATATCCTTATTAATTTTAATTAGTATCAATATCATTAACATCATCTTATTTTCATAGTGAACGTTATCAGTATTATGATTATTA